CAGGCAATTCTACAATTTTTGGGTGGGGATGCCATATGGAACTCTTTCCGAACTGTATTCCACAAAACAAACAGTAATATTTTTATATCATAAACATTAATATAAGTGTTTCTAATGTGGAGGATACTTTGTAATTGTTCACATATAAATATTATAATTATGAATATTTTCTGTTATATGCTTTGAAGATTTTTACTCAAGCTACACTTAATCTATATATATCATAATTTGTTTTGTAGTGTACTATGTAAGTATTATTATTAGTAGTATTATTATTTTAAAAAATATATTTGTTGTACAAGTGTGATTACATTATTTTTCATTATTTTGTTTAATGTAACTATAATGTCAGATGTTTTATCTTTTTGTCTATGTGTATGAATTACTAAAAATGTATAATTTGAAAGCTTCTGTTTCTATTTAGGCACAAGTGTGATATCTTCGGGTAAAACTGATTTTACTTAGAGTGGTAATAAGAGATTCAGCTATATAGTAGCTCTGAATTTCTCTGAAAGTGAGTTCGTGAGATTGAAATAGATTGGACACAAAAAACAATCTTAAAAACATAAACATATGTGAATACTTGGTTAAGATGCTGAGTAGTCACTTTTAGTGGTTATTAAACTGTTTTATCTCCAAAATATATCAGTCAAGATTGTATACAAGACTGATTTGGCTCAATCATATATCATACTGTTTAAATCTAATTTACTTAAAGTAACTTGGTAATGTCAGATTTATCCCAAGTGGGTAGCACTATCTATATGATTGGTCAATTCAAACAAAAGGGAGGCTGTAACTTGGACAGAACAGGTGTTATTTCAACAGAATGACAAAGAGCAAAGGCAACTAGAATGAAAGCAAGTTAACGACTTTCTTGATCACATTATGTAAAAACTGCATTATCAGAAAAACTGACAAATTATGAAAAACAGTATATTAAAGGTAGAAAATGCATGGTACACATATGTAGCACATAATCTGTCATTCAGACTTATATAAAAAAAGAACTGTTAAAAGCAATTGCATTCTAAAAATATCACATTTAACATTAAATTCTTCATTAATCTTCTGTAAGTTTCTTTACTAAATGAATGCTACAGTTACCTATGCATTGTCATACATATCTTATTATCTTTGAAGTTGATAGCTAGTCTCTTTTGTCATTGGGTCTAATAACACTAAAGTTTCAGGAATAAGTTTACTGTTGAAGATCTCAGTGGATGTGAATCTTCATAAGTTGTAAACATAAGTAAAGTGTGCGTGAAATCCATGTTTTTTTATCAAAATGTTTTTAGATAAATTTAGAACGAAAAATATGGTAAGAAACATGTATGTGGTTTCAGAAAACCTTTGATCTATATACAGAACACCTATATGGAATGACATAGTTCTTTACAAGTAAATTCTGAAAATGTTTAAAAGGTTGTTCTACTGTATTAATGAAGTGTATAGAAAAACACAATTTTCATATAGAATGAACCTAATTTTCATGTTTTAGAACTTGACTGACCTTGTACATGTAGTGATTTAGTTTTTTGATAGGAGGTCTGTGTGATTCTTTAATTCATGTTCAAATGTATATGACTTTTCATATTTAACGACTAGCATAAAAGTCCCACACTCTGTTGTGGGATTCTAAGGTCCCCCTCATGATTCACAGAGGCCTCAATGTACCAGACAAGTGTTTCCATTATCTTAATTACTTCTTTAGCTACCCCAATGTGCCAATTCTTTAATTGATTTGTCTGTTGCCATTTCCTGAACTTAATTCAATTCAACTCTTTTTAAAAGCAAATAGTTTTAATTTAGTTTATCAGATTTGTTTTTTTTCTTCCTGTGTTTTTATTTGAATTATTTTCATTCTCCGATTTCTCCAATATTCTCTAATTCATATTTTCTTCCTATTGTTTGTTGCCGTTTCCCAAACTTAGTTCAATTCAGCTTTTTTTTTAATTCTTAGATTTGTATTTTTCTTCCTATGTTTGTGTTTGAATTTTTTTTTATGTGCCAATATTTTTTAACTGTTTTGTTTGATGCCATTTCCCAAGCTATGTCCCCTGGTGGGACAGCGGTAAGACTTCGGATATACAACACAAAAATTAGGGGTTTGATTTCCCTCGGTGGACCCAGCAGATAGCCCACTGTGGCTTTGCTATAAGAAAACACACTCAACACACACCCAAACTATGAATTATTAAAGCCTTGTTTTTTAAAGTAAATATTTTTATTTTTTACACTTTTTTTTTATTTATGTCTGAACTCTTATTGCAGGTTCATCAATATTTTTCCACTATTTTATTTGCAACCTTTTCCCAAATTTACTTTATTTCAAGGTTTTGAAAGCAATAATATTAATTTTAACTTTTACATTCAATTTTTTTCTTATTTTCTCTTTTTCACTAATACTTTATTTTCTGAGTGTTTGTGTACAATCCAAGGTCTATATTGGCCTCAGATTGTATGAATGCAAAGAAAATTAAAACTTTTCAACTCTGTTTTCTTTTCAGTCAGCAAAATTCTTTAACTGTTTTGTTTGTTGTTATTTCATGAACTTTATTTATTGAAACCTTTTTTTTAGTATTCTGATGTCTGTTCCATGGGTTCTGGGAGGTCCTGATGCCTTTGAAAGGCTAAGAAATTTTTGGCCAGTATTGGCAGATTTTTTTACCATTTTGTTCTTTTTCAACAGTATTTGACAGAGAACCTCCACCTATTGTTCATTCAATATGTGAGAATTAGAAAAAAATATGATACTTTTCTATAGACCTTTAGGAAGCAGAATTATGGGGTTTAAGGGCTATAGGACAAAATTATAGGGCGAAAAATTGGCCAAAATGTTTCGAGACAAATCTAAAAAGTCATACTCAGGTGCGCCCCCTTAAAATCCCTTTAGTATGCGAGCAAAGTTTCACGTCTCTTGGTTCTTTCCTCTTGGAGCTATGGTGGTCACACACACAGACAGGCTCTTTTATTATTATAGATAAAGATTACTCCCTTGCTGTACATCATTTAGCCTACGACATTTTGGTTCCTGAATGTAAAATTAAAAAAGAAAAAAAGATGTTTTTTGCAGTTTTTTGAAAGTTAAGGTCATGAAAATATAGAAGTTGATTTGAGAGAAGTGCCTCACATTAAAAAATATATAGTAGACAGTAAAAAATAAATAAATGTGATTTTGGAAACTGTAGAACAGAGAAAATTTGCTTTTTGTCTTGGCCAAGTGTTTGAGTAGTTTTATCAAATCTTTTACTAAAAATTTGCTCTATTAGAGTTTTCTTTTGAAAAAAAAGTTTTTACTAGATTTTGCTCTAAATGTACTTTAAGGTATCTTTCAGGAATAAGTGATTAGATTTCTTCTTCCTTGAAATATATAATGTATCAGATGGGGTTTATCAAGAATGTGACAAAAACTTCTTGAAAATTTACATGATGACTACTGTGTTTGCCTTTTTACAGTAGTCTATTATATTTGCATAACAGTTATCATTATTTATATTCTGTTTTCTTTTATTATGGTAAGCACCATCATTAAAAATTTCTCTCTTAAGGTTTTCTGTTATGAATAGCTGTTTTCTACTGCATATTATTTTCCAGGCTTAAAGAGAAGAGAAAAAACATTCATGTAGCTTTGAACAAGGAAAACCACCAACCTTCAATAAGAAAGGTAATTTTTTTATAGTGATACATACTCTATGCAGTGTTTTAGGAAAATGTTTGGATATCCTGAAAGCAGTAATTAGTGTGGTGTTTTCAGATAAAACAGAGTTCCTTTAAGAACAACAAGTTAGGTCCATGGAATAACAGGAGATTTAGCTAGGTATTTACTGCAGAGTAACAATAAATTCTCTGAGTCTAATTGAGTACATGAGAAAAAGGGACGGTACATGAATATACAGAAATACAATGACAAAAAAATTATTAAACACAAACACAGTGTGTGTACTTGCTTTAGCATGAAAAAACAGTCACTTTTACTGGAGAAATGGATTTCAGCTGTCAACTTTCTTTACAAATTGTACTCCAGGAAAGCATCTACCAGACAGTAAAAACATCATGTTACGTATGTTAAATGATAAGTCATGCTTTGCCAGAGTGATTTCCACCACTAAAATGACTGGTAATTGCCATTAAAAGGTTGTATTTTCAAGATATCAACTGATCCACCTTTGGGGGAAATTTCTGTGTACTTCCACAAACTAGGTGTAATTATATTTTGCTTATTGCTTGTCATATTAACAGGAAAATGTTTAGAGATAATTGCCTAAAATAATTTACAGATGATTATGTTCTTGGATTGCAAAAAGTATAAAGTAAAATATTATTCATGTATTTACTCCTAAAATTTTCAAATTAATATTCAGCATTTATGATTTTTTTAAAATTAATTATAAAATTATTGACTTTATTACATACATGTTTCTTGGAATATATACTATTAATTACATTTTTCAAGGCTGTAACTAATGTTCTATAGTGTGTTCCATATAGTTACCTGTGGCAGTGCTCTAGAGGATGGGTGAGTGGGGTGGGGTGGGGAACTATGTGTTTCACCATGGCAGAGAGAGTTAACTAAACAATAAGGAATTTTGATTTCTAATTATATTTTGTGCATTCTAAATATATGAGCAGTCTTGTATGGTTTGCATGATAAAGGAAAATCAACATTTTGAGAAAAATTAATGCAATGAGTTTTATAATCAGATCTTTGTTTAAAAGGTTTGCTTATCTCTAATTATTTGTCAATTTTATGATTGGTCATTAATAGGAGATAAGTTTTAAGTTGACAAGTGAACAGCTAGGAGTCAGAAACAACAACAGTCATGAAAACTTGCTTGGGGAATCAGTTGGTGAGGATATAATTTTGGAGCTAGCAAGAGTTGAAGAGGAATATATTCGAGCAAGTGACTCACATATACCAGGAGAAAGAAAGAGTACAACAAAACAGGCACGATTCTCACAAAATTTGCCAGTAAATGGTTGTACAAACAATTCCTACCAAAAAACTACCAAACAGTGTGGAAAGTCACGAAGAAAAAAGGGTGAAAGTACTGAAAATGAAGAAATAAATGTTAATTTAGAAACAGATGAGTTTAAAACTGGCGGCAGTTTAATTTGTAGCTCTTCTGTCGTTAGTAATGATGATGTTGTAAATCATGGAAATAATAAAAAAAACAATAACTTCATTAAGACAGTCGATTTTGATAGTACAAAATTATCTGACATCAATAAAGATCAAGACAAATTAGCTTTAGAACCGGTCAAGATGGTAAGGAGCATAAACAGAGAACTCTCCCATCCTTCTGGAAAAGGTAATACAGACAGTGTTGTTCTGACTGTGAAAAAAAATGTTGACTCTACCAAAGATAATATCTGTAATGTTAGAGATAAACGTTTTGGTGTCAGCTCATTAGAAATTCAGAAAGAACAACAGACCTTAGAAGAACAATCTGAAGAAAAAGATATTCATAATGAAATGAATAGCATTGAAGAAATAAATGAAGGTAGGTGTACAAACGTTAATAATATTGCTTTAAAAATGTACTAATGAGATATTTCCATTAATTAAAATGAAAAAGTTATATCACTATACATCAGTGTTTGTATCAGGTTATGTATCAGGTTTATTATCTATTACTTTGTCTTGTTTACTGGCTGATCTCACAAAAACCAAAGAAATCACATGAATGATTTATTTTTAATAGATTGGACTCTATTGTTTTATTTGGTCACGTGATTCTTTTCTGCACTATATTTATTTAGCCAGTAACTAGTCTGTTGTAAGTGTTTAAACATCATCTGTACATATTCAACTTCAGAACTAAAAATATCCAGGTTTTCAGATTTTTCAAAGAAATGGACTTTTTGAGTCCAGGAGTATAGAGGTCAAGCTTCTGGTACCAGCAACAATGTTGGCCTGCATCCTTGAAGAGCCACTAGTAATGTAGTAAAAATTTATTTACCAATATTTGAATTATTGTATAAGCCTGATGTTTGTTTCTTAGCAAATTTTGAAAACTTGAATTATTCTTTTGATGCTATCTTTCATTAATTCTTTCATATACACAGAGAGAGAAATTACTCTCCAAGAGTATTAAGCATACATAAGGGACTTAGTGCTGTGCAGTAAATATGTGAAATATGTTATAGCACATTTTTATAAGTGTTGTGTAATATCATAGGAATTTAAGTGAAATTGACACAGCTTAAGTTTTCACAGCCATTAATATTCCCATTTCTTGTATAGTTGAACAGTGTCATCATTCCCCTGGTAGATATCTAGCCACTGGTCAATGGCCAGAATTCACATTATGTTCTACAGGTAATGCTTATAATAGGTACACTTTAGTAATGCAAAACTTATTTTTTCATTACAATATGTTTAATTTATTTTAGTTACAAGAAGTAGTAGTAGCAGATATGATTATTTGAGAAGGAATGTAAACTGTTAGTTTTTAATATGAATTCATATTGATCTCGTGTTGTTCATTTTTTCAGTTGTGTCACTTACCTTGTTATGCATAAGTCATTATACCGTATACATTAATTAAGAAATTAACAATTTTCATTGTCAAGCCCAAAATGTTTGTGCTAGACATCCTGTACTTTGGTGTTTCTTCATCTCAGAAATTTCAGTGAGCTTCATCCCTGTGTTTGAGCTTGTTTGCAGATGATTGATCAACCGTTTTTAAATCTTCTGAACTTATAATATGGGACAGGTCTCAGTTTGTAATTTACCTTATCTTAGGATTAGTGTCTTATGAGGCATTGTTTTCAGTCCTTTAAAAAAACTTTCTCAAGACTCTTGTTATCACCTTTTTATTCTTTGGAATATTTTTCAGTATATGACCTTTTTACTTGCTGTTATGACGTTTGAGTATTAAATAATAAAAAAGGAAGGAAATATATTTATGTATTATCTAAATAAATAATTTTTTCTTGGTATTTAGTGTACTAGAAGTACAATAAATATGAATTATTCTGTGCTTGCTTATAGGTATTCAGTTATCTGTATTCAGTATTGACAAGTGCCAGATGTCTTCCTGGGGCTTACCAGACAGCATTATGAAAGCTTATCAACAAAAAGGGATTTATACCATGTTTCCATGGCAAGTAGAATGCCTTCAACAAGGAAAGGTCTTGCAAGGTGGGAACTTAGTTTACTCAGCCCCAACCAGTGCAGGCAAGACGTTAGTTGCAGAGATTCTCATGTTGAAAAAAGTCTTGGAAAGCAAGAAAAAAGCAATAATGATCTTGCCATTTGTGTCTGTAGCTAGAGAGAAGATGTTTTACTTTCAGGTAAGTGATAGTTATTTATAAATAAACTTACCAACTGTTTCTCTCCACATTCATTAAAGCATAATTTGTTTTCCAGAAAAGAAGAAAAAAAGTCAAAGGGACAGATCATAAGTATCAAGTTGAATGATCCACCCCAGTCCTATTGTTTTTATAATCATCATGCCAAACATGGCCCAGTGGTTAAAATGCAAGATTGTGTATCTGAGGTTCTTTAGTTTGTACCTGTTACTGCCAAAAAAAATAGTGCTCTGCACTTTGGGGGTATTGGTGCATTATAAGAGTGACAGTGAAATTCCATTGTTTGATTAGAGTAGCCCCAAAGTGGCAGTGGGTAGTGTTTACTAGCTGCCTTTCCTCTAGCCTATCACTTCTAAATTAGGGATGGTTAGTGGAGATTGCCTATGAGTAGCTTTGTGAGAAAATTCAACAAACAAAAACTTAATTATTCAATACTCAGTTTAAAGTACTAGTAAGCAGCTGTAATATTATGGAAAACCATTTATTATACTTTACATATTACTGTCAGTGACTTTTTATATCCATACTTGTATATCATGTAGCTTTACTGGGTAAGGAGTGATGTTTGTGATATAGATTGTAATGTAATGGTTGGAGACGGCTTGAATGGGTAATGAAGAAAAACTTTAATATAAGTTTAACATAACAGCAAATGTACAATGTTTCAACAAGGTTTTGTCATCATCAGGTACCAAAACCATGTCGAAACGTTGTACATTTGCTGTTACGTTAAACTTATATTAAAGTTTTTGTTCATTACCCATTCAAACCGTCTCCAACCATTATTAGTCTCAAAGTGGGTTCCTCGTCATCGAATTCGAGATTGTAATGTATTTATAAAATAACATTTAAATTGATATATTTCCACATGAACATCAAAGTGCATATTATTATAATGACAGAACAAGAACTGCAATGAACTACTGCTATTTCTAATACTACCAACTAAAAAAATGTGGGTCATTCAACTGAACATAAACCTATTTTAACTGTGTTACTGTTGGAATACTATATTTATTAATTTTTTTAATTTTATAAATATATATATATGTTTTTACTCAATGCTGGGCCATAGAGTACACACAAAACAGAACTAAACTTTGCTTCTAATTAAGTTGCATCTTGTGTATTAACATGTTTTACAAGGTGAAAGTGAAGTAAGAAAGCACTTAAAACTTTATATTGGAAGTGTGAATGTTTTGCCTGAATTATTTATGCAAAACATTCACTCTTCCAACACAAAACTTGAAGAAAAAAATAGCATAATGTTTTCAAAGATATTACTTCTCATTTGTGAGCACTTGTACTCGGACATCTTTCTTTTTTGTCTTGCTTTAAGTTTGAGCTACAGTTATTTCTTGAGGTGATTATAAGTTTTAATGTACCCAGTTTTCTTGAACATTGCCTTAATTCTATTTACTTTTAGTCCCCTTTATTTAAAACATTTGCTATTGTCAACTATTGAAGCATGAAAAACAAAGTCAATGTCATCACTTCGGGTGTCTCAATCTTGACAGGCTTTAGGTGCAGGTGATCCGATGAAGATTTGTCTACATTTATTCGCATGGAGATTGAATGTTACATGGTCAACCTCTATTTCCAGACATTGCCCTACTTCCTCCTGAACAAGTTGAACCTATGCAGGCTATTGAGGACTTTGATTGCCTGTTTCCACCTCCTGAATTTGCCTGCCTTCCCATTTCTTTCCTGAGGATTCAGTTCGGCCTTCCACATTTTTTTTGGACTTTATTTCTCAGGTATGGGATGTTTTGTCCCTTGCTCCTACTTCATATGACCTATGTCCTTCCTTACTGCATGAACATTCTTCCCAACCTATTTGGTTTTTACCCCTTCTCATTCGGTTCCATGCTGAACAATTTGCCTCTCAGTTAGACGAAGGAGTTAGCATGCCTCGTCCCCCTATGGGCTTTGGACCAGTCTGCTCTCACTTATCATCATGTAGAATGTCCTTACCTCGACCAGCAACTGTTGGGTTCTGTTTTATCTGTATGACCCAGAAGGTCCCAACAACTGATAAACCATGTATGTAATGCCAGAGCTGAAGACGACAAATGAGCCAACATGGAGGTAAGGAAGGGGAAGATGTCCCCAGAAAACCCCTCAGGATTTCTGTGAAGAGCCTCAGACAGGAGATGAATTGTGGAAAGATACTGCAGAAGAGTCATGAGGGTAAGATGTAGGCAGGAATATTAGGCATGGGATAAACTAACAGGTAAATTGGGGAGGATGCTGTCTTAACTAGGGCCCGTTTACCTACACCTTATCTCCAGGATTTACATATGGCTCATTTTTTATGGTGTTTCATTTTCGATACAGTCCCGGAGTCTTTGGAATCTCAGGTGACATCAGTCTCACAACAGTCTACCCTTTCCAATCTGGTAGCCTGTGTGTCTCATTCAGAGTCAAGTGTGGCACCAATTTCTGTTTCCCGTCATTATCCTTCCCATCCCTTACCCGACTCCTGGCCTTTCTTCATCAATGGTGCCCTTTCATCAATGATCTTTGGGTTCTTCAGGTTTTGTCAGAAGGATTCGAGATCCCATTTCTTGCCACACCTCTCTTGTCCCCTATACCTGTTTCCTTCCCTTCACCTGGGGATTAAAGTTGTATGTCAGCATCTATCAGAGGCAGTACAGGACCTCCTCCCACAACAGGCTATTGAACCTATTACCCATTATTCACAGTGGTATTACTCGTATCTGTTTGTTGTTCCCAAGAAAAACAGGGACTGGACGCTGTCATTGATATGTCCCACCTTAATCTCTTTATTCACTTCATCCGTTTCACCATGGAGTCCTTTCTCACCCTCAGGTGGCCATTTTCTCCAGGTTTATGGATGACCAAGATAGATGTTGCCAATGCTTACCTGCATATTTTTGTATCAGCACAGTCGCATCCTTATCTTTGGTGTACCAGTTTTGCACCCTACCCTTTGGGCTTGTTTCTGCACCTTATGTTTTTTGTCAGGTGGTCAGGACTTTTGCTCCTCATCTTCATGCTTATCCTTCATACAGTCCTTACATTGCTCACGTTTAACTTTAAATCTGCACTGTAAAGCCATGTTGACTTTCACTTTATCTTCCATGGTTTCGCAATGCTCACCATGGAGATGGGGTGTTTCACAACATTGCTTGTAAATGAATAACCTCACGATTTTTGCTTCATAAATTTGCCTGTTCTGGACCATACCACCCATGGACCTCGTGGGTAAAGCAGAAGCGGATAGTTGCTCATCCCTTCCATGCCTCTATTGGATAAATTAGTGTGGTCTGCTTTTCAAAATAGGGTTTCATGATCACCCATTGCACTGGCTCAGGTGATGACGTTCCTCTGGACTCTCCAACGCATTCTCACCCCCCCCCCTTTCTTCTAGTGGAGTATAGGAGTCCTTACCAATTATCAATTCCAAGCTGCTGGGGTGGTTGACTGTGAAGGCACCCTCCTGAATGGGTTCCACACAAAGATGGCTTTAACATCTTGGTGCAGAGTAGGGCGGTGGTGTTCTGCGTGTGTATATAATGTCATATCTTCCACTTTGCGACAATCAATACAGTGGAGTGATATGTTAAAATGCAGTTCACCTCTCTGATTGGGAGCCCTCATTCTATCCTTGCATGGATGTCAGTACCCCATGGGCAGGCTTTGGACTTAGAGTGAAGCAATCAACATAAATCCTCACACAGGTTTTGGGTTGTTTATCTTTCTCCCTCGATTTCCTCCGTCTGTGTTGTGGGTCACAGTGGTGGTACATACAATTGTTCCAGTTCTATCCTTGGCTATCCCTCATTCTCTCTTCTTATGTGGATGTTATTGCCATTTGGAGGGTCCCGGCTTGTTTCACGGTTGGAGAAGTTGATTGCATGCGATAGACATCCTTTTGATACCAGATGTCCAATTCCTGGATCGATAGCTCAGAGCTAATCTTTGTGTCATACCTGGGAATATGAGTGGCTCTCATTTCCCTGGTTCTTGGGTTTGAAGTGAAGGTGGTATGATCCTCATCCTACCCTTGCACGGATGTCGGCACCCCACGAGAAGGTTTTGGATGTAGTTGACTTACTGAGTACGGTCTGTTGCACCCTAGCCACTCTACATGCAAGGGTGCATCCTTGGTTACCCACTTTTCTCATTGTAGATTGTGTTACAATATTTCTCTGGTTAGGATCACTTTCTTACCACATTTTATCCCACTTGGATGTGCTCCTCTAATTTTCCATCCTGATATCTTACACATTCCACACAGGGCGAAGAATATACGTGGCTCAGAAGTGGTGCAATTCCCCTCTTCAGATCTTCTGATCTGACTCTCTCATCTATGGAGATATGCTTCGGATGCTTTCGGGGGTTCTTCCCTCACACTGGTCTCTCCTAATCAATGTGGGATATAGCTAATCTTGTGAGGGGAGGGAATTATTGTATCAGAAGTTATAATTTTCCTGTACTGAAATGTATTTCTGATAAGTACTTCCCTCCACTCACACTTCCCACCCATCCTCTCCACTCTGTTCTGGTGCTTTCATCTTCTGCCAAACTTTGAAGTGAAAGGCCAATAGAGGAGCATAGAGGGAGTCACATGTGTTATGTGAATATACTATGCTCCTATTGGCAGAGAAGTGATGTATGATGATTTACATGAGACACACGTTGGAATCACTTGATTCCAATGATGGGGGGGGGGGAGCAGAAGGCTTGTGGCATGCATAAAGAATCACATGCATATTTGATGAAGTAGAAAAATATCTTCAAGAACCTTTTTTTTTGAATGATTCAATCTATAAGGCTTTATGAAAAAGATTTGAACATAACATAAAAAGATACATAAGTCAAAATTATAATCAAGGACAACTTATAGGAGATGAACAAATATACATAAAATATGGTGTATTCATGAAATAGTACAAAAAAGGATGAACATTCTGTATACGTGTATTATTACCACAATATAATTAATTTTTAGAAAACATGATCATAATGATGAGCAGTCAGGTAGTATATATATTCATGACACATGAAATGTCGTTATGGACCCAGGAATATATTACATTTATACAGTGTATGGAAGGTTTATTGTCTTTCAAGTATTATATGAACAAAGACTTCTGGAAAACCTGACACCTGCTACATGTAGGTGTAATGTTCTGACTGTGAAATGTTTTAGTTTGCTTAAAAAGCATGACTGATATAAATCGAGCAGTGGCTGCTCAGAATGAGCAAAAATGATTACTCATAGGTATACAGGTGAACTTTTCAGACATATATTAGAAAATAATAATCATACAAATAATAAAATTAGGCCTGCATACTTAACACCATTACGTCTCTGATGAACCCCTGCTTGATACATATCATGTTGGGAAAAAGTGTTTTTTTCTTCTTTGGTTTGTACAAATACACTGATTTAAATAGGTTTTTGAATAAACAATAGTAACAATTATAAACTTTTTGCACTGACAGCAAATGTTTGTGATAGAATTTCCAACACTGCATTGGGCATTAACTTTTCTTTAAGCCAATGCAGTGTGTATGTAACATTCTTGTTTATTATTGGTAGTTAAGTATAACTAGCAGGAATACCCACCCTCTGGGTAGGTGTAACTGCTAGTTCCTGCAGAAGGCTATTGGGCCTGTGGCCTTTTCTGGAATTGTCTGACAGTTCTACAACAATGAACTCATACTTGACATTCAATAATGTTCACCATTCATGAGAAAAAGGATTTTATTGAAATTTTAGTTTTAAAATGAGCAATCATCACAGCATTACATCACAGAGTAGATTTGATTGAAGTATTTCTTTGTAGATGTAGTTATCAATGAAAGTGCCTTGCTTTTCTGTTGCCACACTCATGAGATTTTCACTAAATAAAAACAAATAATTTTTTTAAGTTTGTTGTTTGATTGTTTTATATTTGAAACTTACTCCTTTTTTGTAATTTTTATTGGTTAAATCTGAAACAAATAATTTTTGTTGAAATTTCAGTTGTTTTTGCTATAAAAATGTTGCCTGGTTATAAAAATATATGTTATGATTGGTGATGATCGGTGCATTAGTTTCCAAGATCTGAGTTTTGGATGTATATAAATCACAAGCTCCATTATAATAAGATGTCTCAATCTCTTGCATCTTGGAAAGTTATTTTTATTATCTTTTTTATTATACTGTTCAAGCATTATAAGTTTAGAGTAAACTATTAAAGAAATATAGGTGTTTTTTATCTCGCCATATTAATATTTGTCAAGTCAATATCACCTAGCATATGTAGAAATGTCTGGTCACAGGAAAAAAAGTGTTTGGTTTATGACTATTTCGTATTTTCTGCTCTGTAAATAGCTTTTAAGACTAGCTGCGTTTTTGAGACGTAAGTGCTAAATAAGCCAGTCTTTCTTTTAAAAAAAGATTTAAAGATGGTTATCTATTTATTATTAAGATTTAAAATACTAACATCAGTTTTATTTTACAAATATTTGGGGGGGGTTGAAACTGAACTCCTTTGAAAGAACTTCAATTTTAAAAGAAATGTTTGTTGCATTAAAAAAAGTGATTTAAACTCATGTCCTTATTAATACGGCAGAAAATCTAATTTATTTATTCCTTAAATATGTTATTTTGAAGTTAATCATTTACATGTATTTGCTCTTACTTAGATGATTAGATCATACATAAATGTGTATGTTATAACAGTAAAAGTGAATAGACATTCTATGTATGTTATCTTTATCGATAAATTTGTATAGCATTATTATATTAATCTACTCTCTCAGAGTATGTTTCAGGAAGAAGGAGTTAGGGTTGATGGATTTATGGGAAACCATGATCCACCGGGTGGATTCAAGAGTGTTGATATAGCAGTTTGCACCATTGAAAAAGCTAACAGTCTGGTTAATCGGCTAATTGAAGAGGGAAAACTTGATCAGCTAGGTACGCAATAACATGTATGTCTGTTTCAATTGCAGTAGAATGTTTATTTTGAGTAAACTTCAGGGATTGAGCAACACTTTTAATGAGGAGTATTGGTTAATTAAATCAAATACAAGCTCACCTAATATGAAAAGTATATGAATGAAAATTACAATTATTTGTTTTTTGTTGTTACTTGTTATTTTACATCTTTTACAAAATAATTTTGTAGATGGACAATTATGACAGTTTTGTGAAACTGTATTTCATTGTTTGTAGTATTTGTAAGTCAGTATTCAAACAATTAAAAACAGGAAATTCAGTATTCTTCCTATCTTTGATTTAGAATCAACCTTACACAGGTGAAAGTATTATCAGCAGAGAAAACTGAGTTATTTTGTTCACTTGTTAAAACTGAAGAATTTTATGTTTTAAGCATTTAAAGTTCTGATACGATATCTTACTTCCTATCACAAAAAGCTTTCTCGATTAGTACTGCCTTCTATTGGCATGAATTTTTAGCTCTCTACTAGCGTTGTAAGTCCCGTTTCTTTCTGCATGTTTACATGTAAATGATCATGCAGCAAACTTCCACCAATAGGAGTGTGACATTACTCATATTGTAACTAGTGCCCTCTATAATAATGCACTTGTTAATCACATTACCATTGGCAGTCTTACTGTTAAGATGTGTTTATTTTTGTTTGCAAATTTTGGAATCATTAACTTTAGTGCAATTTTTTTCTAGATCTTTTTTTTTCTCGTTACTTTTTTTCGTTTTCTTTAGTTTGAGGTTACAATTTGAAAGTATGCACTCACAGTTTCAAGTAGCTACAATTGCTACTACTGTTTCTGCTCAGGCAGGATTATTGACCATGTTTTCAGGGTGTGACCCACAGTTATTGGCCGATAACATGACTTCCATGATTCATAGAGATTTGTCTCATTTTATTCAACATTCACCACCATATGAGGAGTATCCTGTCTTGCCTTTATCAGGTTTGTCTGACAGGCAGGATGAGAATTTGGATAGCCTTTTTCCCCAGCCTGATTATACTTTTCAGACACTTGTCATTTCAGGAGAACTGATCAGGCTTCCTTCACCTTTTGTTGACTTGATCAATCAGGTATGTTCGATTTTGTCTTTATCACTTATTTCTTATGATTCTACCCCTACCCTCCTTGGTGATGAAGCTTTGGGTCAATGTTTTTTTTTTATCTTCACCGGATATTGGGGTTTATGCTAGTCGTTTTTGGGAACAGTTGAAATCTGGGGTTAGTATGCCTAGTCCCCCATGTCCATTGTACAATCATGCTTTTGTGTTTCATTGTGCCAACTACCCCTTTTTAAACTCACAACATTTGGAAATTCTTATTCCTTTGTGGGGTTTGGACCATAATACTTTGGTTTCCTTTTTCCAACCTCAATTTTCCTGTCTTCCTGACAGTTTGGAATCCAGGGTTGAATCAGCCCATTTACATCACTCCATTTCTTCCTTGGCATCTCGTTTGTCCCAACCTCCTGTTCCTGTATCAATGTCATGGCCACCTCTTTCTAGCCCTTTGCCTGTCCTGACTGCTCATTCTTTGATTTTCTGTAATCATTTGGTTGCTCACATTGTTTTCAGGGCATTCAACATTGATGACTTAGTACTCAGTTTGGGGCTGGTAAGGGCCAGGCTATTTCACTTTTCCCACATTTCGAGGACTGTTATGGTAGATCTTTGGGTTTTAAATGTGGTTTCTCAAGGTCTGGTCCTCCTTTTTCTGTCTCCTCATCCTATTTCTTTCCTCTCTCCTCGAGATCCCATTTCATGCCACCATTTGTCGGAGGTGGTTCAGGATTTAATTCGAAAGGATTCCATCAGACGAGGAGATCATTCTCGTCTGGTATGTTATTTTTTCCTGTTTGTTGTTCCCAAAAAGATGGAAGTCTGGTGCCCAGTGATCAATTGGTCATCTCTGAATTGCCTCCTTGTTGTTCCCAAGTTCACCATTGAGTCGTACTTAATACTCCGTTGGGTTTTCACTCAAGGTCTGTGGATGATGAAGGTCAATGTGTCATATTCCCATCTCCCCAGCACCCTGACATTTCCTTTGATTTGTTCATCATGGGTATGTTTTTCTGTTTTGGGCTCTTCTGTTTGGCCAAGCCTCAGTCCTCTATGTGTTTTGCTGTTTTGTTTGGTAATTTGCTTGAGTGCTTCATTCCTGGGGCCTTTGTTTCCACCATTACATGGGCAACTGGCTACTGCTGGCATCCTCACAGGCCGACTCTGCTCTCCATACTCAATTTCTTCTTTGGGAAGCTGCCTGGGTTGGTTGGCTCATCAAGGTGAAGTTGTTTCTCATACCTACCCAGTTTCTGCTTCATCTGGGGGTGTTTTTCAATTCATTTTTCAGTTGGGCCCAGCCTTCTCCACTTTGCTTGTGAGATATGGAACAGCTAGTTTACAAGGTCTCTTACTCACCTTCTCCTTCTGCATGAGAGGTTCTATCTTTTTTGAGGATGTGGGACTCTCTTGAAGTGCTCACTCCCCTTGGTCATGCCCACACGTGTCATCTACGGTGGGCTTTAATTGACTAATGGTGCTTTGTTTGAGATCCCATGGAAGCTCCTATTACCCTTCACTCTCCATTACTTATGGACTTTGCCTAATGGATGGATTGGACTAGTACTACCATGAGGGATCCTCTTTCTCTGCCTCGTCTGGATTGTCACATTTTTACCGATGCTTCTCTTTCCGGATGGGGAGCATATCTCAATAGTCTGGAAGTGTTAGGAAGGTGGACTTTTCCAGAATCCACTCTCCATTTCCATATCTTGGAGCAGCTTGCTCTTCAGCAGGGTTTTCTACCCTTCATGCTGTCTTTTTGGGGACAAGTGGTGAATTTGGACAATTTGATGGTGGTGTCCTACATCTCCAAGTAAAGAGGCACCCAGTTGAAGGACTTTTGTTTTTTGTAATTGGATCTCCTGTATGGAACCCACAGTCACCAAATTACTTTACTGGCATGTCATATTCTGGGTTCCATGAATCTAGTGGCTAATCATTTCTCACAACATGATTCTACCAATGGAGTGGTCTTTGAATCTTGTCATCTTTCTGGAGTTCTATGCTCATTGGGGTATTCCTGATTTGGATTTCTTTGCATCTCCTCTCAACACTAAACTTCTCTGTTTTTGGTTGCCTGTTCCTTATCTCAGGTGGATGTGGTAGATGCTCTGTATGTTTGTCCTCCTATTTTTGATAGTTCAGACCACTTCTTTTTGGGTTCTGTTAGTGGCACTATATTGGCCGGCTTAGACGTGGTTTCTGCTTCTACAGTGTCTGTTGGTGTCACTACTTGTCCTTCCCCCTTTATTTATTTATTCCCTGGAACCCTGCCATTTCACATGATCTTTTCCCCAGTACCCTTACGGGTTAGATTCATTAGGTCAATCGCCTGGCTTTTCTTCCCTTTCTCAGGATGCTTGTTGTCTTTTTTGCGTCTTTTCTCATAAAATCCTTCATCTGATCATGTCCCTGGCTGCTCATTTCTGTCTTTCTTTGGAGGACATCATCAGTGCAGGTATGTGGACTACCCCACACACCTTTCCATCTCACTACCTCCATCACAAGGCCATTTCTTTCCTTGGCGTTTCCACTTACCTCCAGTCACCATTTTACACACTTTGCTTCTTTTTGACTGGTAAGTACTCATTTTTCTTTTCCTTTACTGGGGCCTCTTGCTCATAAGTTATGGATACTACTCTGTGACGTATGGTACCTGAGCAGGTATAGTTAGTATCAAATCTACACTGTACATCCTGAAGTACAGTTCCAGATGTCACCAGGTGTTGGTTGTCATCTATACACGGATGTAGATAATTCTTGCATATTATGACATACCATAGGTTCATTTTACATACTATGTTGAGATGGAGTGTTCTGTAGGACCAGTCGTATATATATCTTGTGGTCTTTTGCTTCCTAAATATGTTTGTTCTGGATTGTACACTCATGGACTTCCTGGTAAAGCAGACAGGGATTTCTGCCCATCTCTGATGCTCTGTAGACATTGAGTTTCTTCCTACCGTGGGACTGATGTACAATTCCAGATGCGGCAAGGTGTTGGTTGATTGTTCCATCCATGTGGTAGGTTTGCTTTTCAAAATAGGGTATCTTGGTCATTCGTTGCACTATCTCTGGTGCTTCAGTCTTCCGCACTCTCCAATGCACTTACCAGTTCCTAACTGCTGGGATGGTGGACCTTGGGGGCTAATCCTCCTGAGTGAAGAAAATTCCACTTGGTTGAGAGAAGGGTGGTGGTATTCTGCTGGTGTTGATGGCATGATGCCCATCCTACCTCAGACCTGATATACAATTCCAGTTCCTGCCAGGTGTTGGTTGTAGCACTCTGCCATATATTTCATTATTGCAGTCTACTCCTCTGGCTGAGATATTCCTCCTTCCTGCCATCCTCCAGATGTTGGTTCATGGTTGAATCAGGTGTTGGTTCAAGACAATCCAGCCACATAATTCCTCACATATGTTTGGCTGGTACTCTCCTCCTACCATGGACTGAACAATAATTTCCCAATACTACCAGGTTTTGGACTGGAGATGCATCCCACATTAGAATCCCTCTTCATCTTCCTACTGTCTGCTGGACGTCAGTTCCCAGTGGATTTGATGTTGTTGAAACTGGATGAAACACATGACTTCCTGCACGTGTAAAGCTGGGTTCCCTATTCCTACCGCAGACTGGATGTGATATTCCCAATGCTACCAGGTTTTGGACCAGAGATGAATGCCTCCTAGCTCTCCTTTCTTCCTGTCATCTGCTGGATGTTGGTTCTTAGTGGGTTTGGTGTTGGTTGTGTTGGAGTGGCGCACATGCGGAGATGAGTTATTGATACGTAAGCTAGTCTTCCCTCCAAATACCAGTTTTTGAGGTGAAAGGGAGAGGACTTTTCCTACCGTGGACCTGATGTACAATTGCAAATGCCGCCAAGTGTTGGTTGAGGTCGAACTCCTAGTTATGGTCTGTCCCACCTGAGCCACTCGACACCTAGGAGTCTCCATGATAATGAAACCATTTTGGGGTCCCTCCATGTTTCCACCCTTTTGTTTTGGCAACAAGGGTGATGAGTATACCTGGCTCAGAAGTGGTGCAGTCTCCTGCTGTTGTGAGGTTTCTAATTCCTTTTTCACACTTCATGGTCATTCTTTGGGTGCTTTCTTAAAAAGGATCATCTTCTCACTGGCCCTCCACCTTTTCAATATGGGATTCAATTCAAGATATTGGAAGGTAACATTTTCCTAAACTGAAAATGTATTTACTAATAGATACTTACCTCTTCTCACATTTCCCATCTGTCCTCCCCATTTCTGCTGTATTGGTTACATTGGTCTTGGCCAAATTTGAAGTGATTCACAGGTGCATTATTAGAGAGATTGCTAGTTACGATAGGAGTAATGTTGCACTCCTATTGGTGGAGGGTTGCTGCATGATCATTTACATATAGACACACAGAAAGAAGCAGGAGTTACAAGGCTAGTGGTGAGTGAAAAATTTGCACTGATAAAGAGCATTACTAACTGAGAGGTAAGTATCTGTTTGGAAATGCATTTTCAGTTTAGGAAAATGTTAACTTTCCACTAGAGAACTATTAAAAAAACACATAACATTAGGGAAGCCTATAAATTTTATTGGTGACATTTTAGTGATGTACTTAAACATGGTGTTTGTCTCAGTGAAATGTAGTTGATGTTTAATCTTATTCCTTTAAAGAAAAACAATACTGACTTTAGTGGTTTTTTTTCTTCAGGAATCTTAGTTGTAGATGAGCTACATCTCCTGGGAGACTCTCATCGTGGTTACTTGTTGGAACTGCTCCTTACCAAAGTTTTGTTTGTTAGCAAAAGGTAAAAAGATCACATCCAAGTTTGTTGTTAATATAGTTTTGTGCAATTTCGTTGAGGGGCAAGTAATGACCATCAAAAATGTTTATAATATTGACATTTCTGTAATTCTATATCAACATGGAGTGTTTGATTATATAATTAAGAAAAAGTAAGAAAATAATATTTAGAGATAGACTCTTGCATGATAATGATGCTAAATACTTTTAGTAGCTTGAACTTTCATGGCACTGAAAGAAAAATTTTAAGTGTTATTAATCCCCCTCAACAATATATGAATGTTTTTGGGTTTGCTGATATTTGTGATTTTTTAAAAATGTTTTCAATTTTCTACTTGATTGAGTTTATTATACTCAACATGAATTTCACAATTTAATGTGAATACTTCTAAAGCCAATGTGAGTGAAGAATTTCCTCACACAGAACAAATTCATGCCATTTCTGCTGGAAGTTTTTTTTTTTCTGTGGGAGATTTGACAGCTGGCTACCATCATGTGATTGGGTCCATTATGCAGCTGGGACCCTCTGCTTTCCTCCCTTCCACTCACTTCCCTTCCCAATTTTATGAGCCTGAAACTTATGAGGATGAATTTGAGCACCAATTTTCACCTTCAGGTTTTCATTGTGAACTACTCTATCTAATAAATAATGCTGTCGGTTTTCCTATGCTTTCTTCACTTTATTTCTCAGATATGTACAATTATTTCACTTACTCCATTGATTTTTACTCTTCCTGTTAACCTTTCTTTCTGATTTCCTTATACTTCCTCCAACCCTTGTTATATAGGCACATGGGTTCACCTTTTCTCCCACATTCTTTTACCTCATACTCCCTGCCCAACTGACTCCTGTGTTCTCCTTTTTAGTCATACGTATTTCCTGTTCCTGGACTCCCAGGTTTGAGAGTAACCTTTGTCAATTTGGGGGGCAGATTCATTACCTGCTATTTCCCTTTCTGTAGCTCACTTTTCCTTTCTTTGTGATCTCCTTACTACCCTTCCTTGGTACCTCTCCTTCCTTCACTCATGTTGGTAGCCCTTCTCTGTTCCCCTCTTGTCCTTTCTCATTTCATTAATGAGCACAGTGTGCCTAAATACAATCACCCTTTTAGTATTAAAATAGTAAGAAAATGCCATGGTTTCCTGGACAGGAAGTACAAAAAGTTGTTTTTTCATCAGATCTGAGAAGTCTTCAATCAACAAGGATAGAGGTTTGCCACTTTAAATGGTGGATTTATATGTATGTATATATATGAATGTTTTAACACCTACTTTGTCTCTTTTGTAATAATGTATATATGTGGTTTTAACTACATTTAATGTTTACATGTACATATTTATCAGGCTTTATTTTTTACTTTAAGTGATTATATTATTGTTATACATTTATTACTGTTACTTTTTCAAAGTTGATAACATGATTGCATGTTGGACAATACATGAGAATGCATTGTTGATATTTTAAATTACATCAGCTGTTTTGTTCTGTTAAGTTTTGGTTTGTGTTCTGTAAAGTGTCTACCTCTTGATAAAGCTGTAAGGTGAAACATTGAGGAATTAAACAATTTTTATTGGGTACTGGCTGTTCGTCTTCATAAAATATGTATATACTTGTGCAGTTTTTTATTACAAAGAGGTAAGAGTAAACTTTGAGAAAACAACTGTATAATTCATGACATACCAAATGCTTCTAATCAATAACCATCTTTATTATACATGACTCATTCAATCATAAAAAAAATGTTATATAAATCTTTAGATTACTTGAACAAGTAGATACGAGGTTTTAAGAAGAAAACAACTACGTTTAGGTATACATTGTTTTTCATTTCTAAAACTCTAATCTTATCAACGTGCAGGAAGTCTCAAACTGAACTTTGCTAATTGTGTGTGTGTGCATAATGTAATTGCAATAGTCTTTTAATGCTAATAGTTTCTTTGTTTCATCTGACATTGTATAAAAAACTTGAATGGACTTCGATATTTATAAGTCAGTGTAACTAAAACTGTCTTAGTACAAATAGATCTGAGTGACTCCATCTACATGCAAAGAAATAAATTTTTTTTCTTTAGTTTTGATAGTGCTGGAGCTGACAATCCAATACAAGTGGTGGGCATGAGTGCTACCTTACCAAACCTGGACTTACTGGCTTTCTGGCTTAGAGCAGATCTCTATTACACAGACTTCAGACCTATACCACTAGAAGAACACTTGAAGATAGGAGATGCTATTTATGAGGTCCAGACCATGCAACAAGTTGCTACAATGAAGGATAGGGAATTAACAATTCGTGGAGATGCTGATCACACCATACTTTTATCACTGGACACTGTGGTAGCTGGGCATTCTGTATTAATCTTCTGTCCCTCCAAAAACTGGTGTGAAAAACTGGCAGAGAGCATTGCCAGGCAAGTGTGTGAGTTGGGACGGCCCCATCCTCCTGGTGTTAAAGCAAAGAGTAAGTTTATTAATACTGGGTTGCTGTTTTTCTGATTGTATGAATTATAGAAATCAAATATAACACAACCCATGGTTTAATACAAGAAGCATTTTTTGCATCAAGCATTTTAGACAGACAGATGTCCTTTTTTAGGTTTGGAAGTCTTATATTTTGTGTTGATTTTAACCATGAATCCCACCACTATTATTAAATTGAGCCAAGAAATAGCACTGCATTGTGATAATATTAAAGAATAATAATTTTTTATTGTTTTGAGATGCATACTTTTATAACATCATTTACATATTATTTCAATACAGTCTCATATTTTATTAATCTCCAGAAATATATTAAAAATTGACAAAAAGACATTTTTAAGATAATTTATTTTACAACTTCTTTATACCTTTAATGTTATAAAAAATGATTAAATCAAAAAGAGGTGTGCCTTTAATAATTGAATGTTCTTATTTTAAAAACTTTTATAGTATTGATATTTTCCTATCTTTCAGTTCTACAAGAAACATACTTATAAGTTAGGATTGATATCGTACTACACAAGTTCAGATATGCTTAGTGTTGAATATGCTGAGGTTCAAAAAAATTATTCATATTTAGAGCCCACGTGTTCTTTAACATTATGCTGTAAAATATATTACAGAACTTCAGTTTGAGTTATATTTTGGTGTTGATATCTATTGTACAAAAAATTAGCCTTTCAAACTTTATTTTCAGTAATAGCTCGTTTTCATTTTATAGAATCTAGCATCAGCTTTGGTTGTATATCATCTGAATCTAAACTCTTAGTAACTTAACCAACTTTTTCTTGTTTTGATTAAATTCATTATCGTTAGAGGAAGACCCTATATGTTTCAGTTTTTTTTAAATAGTATAGGTATGTAGTTGAAAAGAAGTGGTTAATAAATATGATAAATACTAAATGTATACCACTGTAATCATTCATTTAAAACTGTTTATGAAATATTCAGTTGTGCTACCCTCACAGAACAATTTTATTAGAAAACTTTATAAACCTTCAATACAGAAGGAAGTAATAGTTTTATACATTGATATTCTGTGACAGGGTAGTGTTTTAGTTGTACATGATTTTCATTCTACAAATAGTGCAATTGGTTTTATGTGCCTTGTAGTTTCTCATAACTACATAATTTTCGATAATAGGATTGATACTGTACCGTGTATATTGGTAATTTCTTGTTAATATACAAATGATGTGAAATTTCTGTTATTTTCTACCAGTCTAGGAAATGTGAGTAATAGGTTTTTTTTTGGTTGATTGGGGGGTTTTGCACAATGCATATGCTCTGTACTCTGAAAGTTCCAAACAAATGAACAGAAACTTGGGTTATGCATAACAGTTATGTGGTATTGTTTCAATAGCTTAAATTATCTTTTAGGTAAGAATTAAGGACTAAGTATGTCAAAACTCCTGTATATTGGTAATTTCTTGTTAATATACAAATGGTGTAAAATATAAAATTATTTAAAAACACATTCACAGAACCTGTTTAGCTATAGTTGAAGTTTTCTAGTTAGTCCTTTTAAGTCTCATTCTTCTACTTTACATTATTCATAGTGTAGTTCAAGTTTTAGGCCCATTGTAGTTGATTTGTATAATTCTTTCACAGTTCTGTAAAACTAATGTTTGATGTAGTACTGTGGTTACAGAGAGTAATTAACTTGTATATATATTGCAGCTCAGTTTTGATCAATGGTGAAATGGCCAACAAATATAATCATGGGAAGGGAAATACTTGCATGAAACTATAGGAAAATAGGCCTAGAGAAGTAATTGATGTTACTATTAGCAAAGTTTCAAAGTAACAGATAAAATATTTTAAGGCACTATATTGTTCTACTACAACATTATTACAAGTTGCACAGCCTTTTCTATTTAAGAAAATAATGCATATGCATTGTTGTGAGCTTATTTAAATGCAGATGATATTTTAATTGCAGTTTCTAGCTGAAAGCAAACTTCTGTTTGCAGTTGTTTTGATTTATTATAGTGCCACAAGAGTACTTGTTTGCATGAAATGCAGAATGATAACACAGCTAATTTCTTTTTTTTTGACAGTATTTACTTGAGAAATGATTACACAATGCTAGAATTAATGTTTGATAAAACATGTAGTGTAAGAGAAGCTTAGCCTATTCAATGATTGTTTCCAGTGTTCATCGTGGACTTGCTCTTCAGTTTAAGTGTTGTATGCAATACTGATATGTCACAGTTATATGCATTGTACTTATGCAAGGCAACTAGCTATGTGATACAAGATGTGAATGAAAAGCTGCAAAACATATATTTGTCTAAGTTAGAACACTGGAGATTTTTTCACTACCTACCAAACTGTTTCTAGTAATAATAATAATAATACAGTCAAAGCGTTTACTTAAAGAGCTACCCTTGCAATGATATACCTTATTAGAACTGAGAACCATTATAAATGTCTCAGAACAAATAATTCTGTTTTCTTGGGGCTTTTGATGTTGTTTTTAAGAGAAATATAAATGTAGAAATTTATACAATTATTGAGTATTTTCAAAATACATTTCATCGTTCCTTCTACCCCATAATTTTGCATGAATATGTTCACCATTATATTCAGAAATACCCAAGAAACCTGCTATCCTTAAACTATTAATGATTAACTTTAAAATCATAATTGCTTCATTTATTTCACTTTTCTTTAGTGTAACACCTTCTATGTTTTCTCAACATTTAGCTAACTGAATGTTAATGAAGTATTCACGATCAAACAATATTAAATAAGTGGCTGTAATTCATGGTACTAGGAAAGTATGTTAATTGATAAGTTCTTTTAATGTGTACATTTTTTTGCTGTGATTAAATAACTGGCAAGATCCATCTAAAATAATTAATGAAACAGCCAAAAATGTGAATAATCACTATGAATGCCGATGAGGCTAGCAATTTGGTTAAAAGTTTTATACTATGGTAAAGAAAATCCACCTATGTTTATCTGCAGAGCTGTCATTGTGAGGTCTCTGATCTGGCCGTTTAGGCTATGTGTTGCACAAGGTGCTGCTCAAGTTGAAAATACAAAAAACGTACAAAATGTCTGTAATTTAGACCTAATTATTCTATTTTTATAAGAGAAGCATAAGTTCTGGTGAAAGAGCACTTGTAATAAAATTAAACTCTGAACATTGTCATGAATTTGATAAAAAAAGTAAACTTAAAAAATTATAATTAGGCATGTGTAGCAAGTTTTATCTGGAAACATTTCTCTTGTCTAAACTTAAAAAACACACAATACAAATAATAAAGTATATTGTTTCATCAGGCAAAGTACATAATTTATATTATTAGTATTGTTCTATCTTAGGTAAAACTAAAGAATGTCAAAGAATTGGATCCAGACTAAGGGAAGTTTTGAATGGAAATATTCTTTCGGACATTTTAGAGCAATTGAAGTGTTCTCCATCTGGTCTTGATAACACATTAGGAAAAACTATACCTTTTGGCGTTGCTTACCATCATGCAGGTTTGTAGTGATCTTAGTATTATGATGTTCAATAATGGTACTGCAAAATTGTTTGCACAGGAATTTGATTTACTTTTGTGATTTTTCATTTTAACAAGGACATTGTACACAGATACATGTATAACTACATCTATAATTAACTCACTGAATTCTAATTTATTTTCACAAGAAAGACTAATATTACAAATGATTTACATCTGTCAAAGTTTAGTACAGTAAGTGTTAGGTGTACTTCATAATAGAAATAAATAGGATGTAGTCAAATTTTTCAACATTGAATATGAAGCCATTTATTAATGCTTATAAAACTGTAACGTAACAGCAACTATCTAAGTTGATCAGTTTAAACTACTTTTATATAATATTCTGAAAAACTAATGAGAAGCGTAATACTGAAATTAATATCCTTTATGTGTTGAGTATGTGTACGTCTCTATAATGAATCATAAGTGTAAATGATAAAAAGAGCAGGAATTTAGGGAGAAAAATGAGCAATGGAATGATTTTGGATTGTAGAAGGACTGAGAAACTTTTGAGTTTGCTGTGTTGTGGTTTTAGTAAATTAAAAAAAAGCAGAATTATGCTGATTAATTATTACTTAGTTTTATACAGATATTAAAAGAATATTGGCCTTTGTTCAGTCTGATGTCACCTACATGTAAAACTGGATAGTTTGTTGAAGATAACTGTTCTTTTTCAAAGATTTAAAAATCATTGTATAAACTTTGAAATTTCAATAGAATCAGTCATAGTACCATTTCCAATATGAAAAATGGCTTAAGGATGGGCAGTTTATATTTATGTGTCTGGTCAATTCTGACCTAACAAAAACACTATAAGGCTAAAAATGTGTTTATACTTTTATAGTTGTATATGTTTAAAAGCATATAGTGATATGTGAATTGTTTTTCTCCAAACTGGTGAAGTATGATTATAATTAACTATGTTTGTTATATGACATTAGTATTAGGCCTGTTATATTTTTAACACTGTGTTCTTTATCTAGTCCAATACACTTCCCTCAAAAATTAAAATCAAAATAAATTCTTGGAATACACACTATACAGTGCTAAAGACAGATTTATTGGTAGTAACCTTTTTTTTTTCATTTTTCCAACTTAAGTTCATTGATGTTTTATCTGTAACTAGAGATTATTGAAAAAAACATTAGGCTTGAACATCCTGAAGCTTTTAAATATAGTATTTAGTAAGGATTTGGCTATTGGTTTATTGATTAAAGCAAGAACAACACATTTCACCAACTCATAATCCAGTTGATTCAAACAGATCAGGCTGTTTCCACTGTGTTACTGGTGTGAATAAAAATGAATATGATTATAAAACTAAAATAGGATGTATATCTTTACTATATAAATATATGGAAGTAAATAACATGGGAAAATAGTACTTAAAGGTTACAGGTATAAATCCTTCTGTTTATGAAATCTTTAGTGCATTTAAAGATCTTAATAGAAAATCATATTTTAAGTTAATAGTTAAGATTATAACAACAGCTTGCAAAGTCAGAAATACCCAAGTCTAGAATAGAAATTGGTTTACATTGTGAATTTGCGAGACGTTTGTATGTAAGAAAATTTGTCTTAAAAGTTGGCACTATGTAGTACAAGTGTGTAGGCCTATCATAAAATTCAAAGTTACCACAAATATGATATATTGATAATCGTAACTTTTATTTAACTTTTTCGTAGAATGTGATGTTACTTAGAATGAGATCTAGTCCAAAACAAATATTGATCTATAGATGATGTTATGATTAACAATCGATTCTGCTTTAATCAAACCAAGCTTTGTGTTGAATTTGAGCTTACATTGAAAGTGATATTATATAAAGCTATAAGAAACCTCCACATGCACACCTTTACTTTCTGTATGTTAGATTTTAACATTGGCCTGATGGCAAAAAAAAAAAAGAAGAAAAACATTGTTGCATGCTGTTCACATTATCATTTAGACACAGGCAATTTTTAGATTAAACCTAAGAGTTTTAAAATGTACATAGCAGAAATTATTCTTCATTTTGTTGCCTAAGCTATATTATAACATTAATATAAATAATGTTTAGCTCTTAAACTTAATTTATAGAATGTAACGAACACCCCAATATATTGGAATTTGTTAGGACTGATGGCAATATTAAAAATCCTCTGGACATTGATATAGCAGTTATTGACTCCTAAGAATTGTTGTGCTTTAGGTGATTTTATTACTGTAGTATCATTATATTCAAGTTGTGACAAGTAGTTTAGAAACATTAAACTTTGTTAGACAACTGGTATTTACTGTTTTAAACAATTTTTCTGTATTATTTTTTATGACTGAACTGTTTACCATGATCATTGCTGGTATCTGTATAATAATAATAATAATAATAATGACTCTCAATCGAGTAAAATAATAAACTTTGTGTAGTTTTGATTTGTATTTTCTTTGATATCTATAATTAGATAATTTAATTATTAAGATATCTTTTACCTTGTATTTGATGTAAACACTAGCTTGTAACTGGATAGCTATTTCATTTTAGCCTCTTTATTAGTAATGTATTTTCATTAAATAGGGTTAACTTTTGATGAAAGAGATATTATTGAAGGTGCTTTTCGCCAAGGTGCTGTGAAATTCTTGGTTGCTACATCAACACTTTCTTCTGGAGTAAATCTACCTGCTCATCGTGTAATCATACGGTCACCATTGTTCTATGGTTCTGTGATTGATGTTTTAACCTACAAACAGATGATTGGACGAGCCGGTCGTAAAGGGGTTGACATCAAAGGTATTGCAATACATGTGTTAAACATACATATTTCTTTTTTAAATTACGGTAATAATATTCTAAACAATATTTACTTACAAAAATTAGACTACTTAAGTAGTATGTTGAAAACTTAAAAGTTTAAGGAGCCTAAGGTAGAACATTTTTGATTCTAACATATGATCTGAACTAAAATTTATCAAGGTTTTTATTCTAAGTAGGTTGGCTACAAAATCATGTAGTGTATATTGGTATTTAATGGGATTCCTGATCTTCATTAGTTTCAGTTGTGTGCCAGAAAAACTGCAGATTTGGCTGAAACTGTAAATCACACTGTGAAAGATGTGAAAAAAAAACAACAACAGATGTGTTGATCTTACAATTAACTTAGTCGCTGTTAAGTATATGCATTTGATTTAGTTAGACCTAAGTGCTGATGGTTAATAATAAGGTAAGAAGTAATACAGTTTATATATATTTTTAGTTTGTGTCATATAGAGTTTACACAAGGACTATCGATCTTAATTCAAAATATTTCACTTTAGTAACATTAGTAACAGTCTGTTTATCTTACAAGCTGAAAATTCAATGTGACTATAAAAACTGACTCAGTTAAACTAAAGGCAAAATAATTATTAGAAGTATATTAAATGGTTAGAGGTGTTGCCATAGGCTTGCTATACACTAGTGTTTGTGATTTCATCATAGGAGAAAGTATTTTGTTGTGTAAAGAAAATGAAAGAGAAAGAGCAATTTCTCTAGTGAAGTCAGATTTGAAGCCTGTCCAATCCTGTTTACTGAAGAAGGAAGAACACAGTCTCACTGGGAGTTTGAAGAGAGCAATTTTAGAGGCTAGTAATTCTGTGAAAGTCTCATGTACACAGTTAAAAATACATTTGTTTTATCTGTATTTCATTTGAGTGATTGTATTAATACATATTACATTCATGAGAATATTACCAGGGAATTTCCAAAACATTTATATGTAATTTCATTAAGACTGATTTGTGTGAAGAACTTTCTTTTCTTATTTTATCTTTTATGTCAGTAGTTGAAGTTTGTACCCTTCATTTTTTATCTTAGAAAAATCGTGGTTTAATATAGCTTGTCATTTTGGTAGCATGGAGTGTAGTTATTAGCTAAATATTAGAGTAAGTTTATTTGAATTAAATAAGAGTTACTTATTGCAACTTGAATTTGGGGTAATCGCATTATATAAAATGAAAAATAGAATAAAAACTGGTATCTAAAATAATATATTTACCAAAATTTCAGGAGAATATATTTAAGGATCAGTAAAGGACTTGATAATAATTGAATTCCAGAATGTTCTGTTAGACTTTTACTAAAATATGAGGATAATCTCCAAGATTTCATTTTTACAAAAGAAAACCATAAGAAAACAATATCTCACTAACTGTCACACATTTACTAGTTGTGTGGCTGAAAAGGAACGAAAATATGGAACCAACAGGACCACAAGTCAGCAATATACATTTTATAAAATATAAAAGTGTAAAATAGAGTGAATCCAATTTTGGGAATGAGTGAATCCAGTTTAGTGCAAAATCATTATATGTCCTTCAAACCAATATATAAATAAAAGAACAAAAGTATCTAATTTTTAAGATAAAAAAAAATGTAAATAATGTGATATGTTTACTTGGTATAATGTTAATGCAAATGTGTGATTTAGGATGGAAGAATTACATCATTAAAGTTCAAGTGTAACATTACAGTAAATACAAGACAAACAATGGTAGAAAGAGTTGTTTGGAGTTATATGTAATATGGAATGCACCTTATGCCACTAAACATTATTCTTAAAATGCATCTTAACAATAGGATAAAAATGTCAAGTAAGTGACTATTTTTACAAAAGCAGTTAATTCAAAACCAAAATTTAGGAGCTTTTTTCACTTTACTAATTTTTGTTGTATGTGTGTGTGTGTGTGTGTGTTTATGTTGGGTCTGCTTTTTTTTTCTCCAGTGTTTGTCTTATGTGTCATATGTTTGATATCCTGTCACATGCATCTATTAGTTTTGCTTTTGGAGGTATAAATATTATTAAATAATTTTTATAATTTATACTTACTAGTGGAGTAATTAGATACTGTTGTCCAAAATTATAAAATGTATCTTAATAAATTAGTCATATTAATTTAAAAAGGCTATCTATAAAATAACAAACAATTTAAAGGAAATGGCTGTTTATAGCAAACTGAAAATAGGACTCTTTTTGTTAGTTTTTTTTGTTGTTGTAATAAAGAAACCTAAATGGCACAATCACTGATAAGATGTAGTTGGCAAATGGTTATTTCTTATTATAACTTTTCATGTACATTCTTCGATCACAACTTTGGGGTTGAGTTAGTCCTTATGCCACAGCTATCCAAAACCAGCATAATTTTGTCCTATTCCATTTGTCAGGTGGTTGCTAGCGGTGTAGCAACAACACCAGAAGAGGTGGCAAGGTATGCATCTTGTACGCTATTGGCAGCTTCTCTACAGAAAGAGGAGAAAGGACTAGCTGATACAGGAACAGAGAATGCCATTACTGCCTGCATTGATTACCTCATGGAAAATGAGTTTATTATTTGTCAAACTAACCCAGAACAAGGTAAGCTAGTAAAAGTCTGTCAGATATATGTGTGTAATCTGAAAATTACACTATGCATGTATAGGTGTATTTGATGCTTAATATTTGATAACATATCAAAATTATGGAAAATATTTTTGGATATTCTTAAATAAAGATACATTCTTTCCTACTTATAGAAGGGTAAGAGCAGAGAAATTTTCAATTGCTATAATAATTTAATATTAAAACCTTTTTTTTTTAATTTTATTCAGTGTAATCTTATTAAACAGAAGATAACTTCTGTATATTCCTTTATACATGAAGAAAAATATTAATGTTGTTTATTAACAAGTTGTGAGATTACAAAATCTGCTCAATTGGGTAATTAGAATAAGTAAAGGCTGTATTTAGTCATTCATTCATGTATTTCTGTCAATTTGGCATGCATCTTCCACTTTGACTATTGCTGCTCTGTCCTGTACCTGATCTTGTAGATCTCTTTGCATTCCTCTCTTTCTCACACCATTCTTCAACCTTCTTTTTTTTGGCTGTTTTCTTGTTCTCTTTCCATGTAATTTCCATCTCTCCACCTTTTTTACCATTTTCTGATTCTACATCTTCTGTCCCATCCAGGTCAATCATTACTCCTTGCCAGATCATTCATTCTCCTTTGTCAATTTTATTCCTAAAATTTGTCTTAGACATCTACAATCAAAACCATTCAGTTCCTGTTGTTTTGTCCCTGTTCATCTTTCTGTTCCATACAGAACCAATAATATTACTTCATCATTATACACTCAGATCTTGGTCTTTATGCTGAAATCTCTTCACTTCTGCAGTACCTTACTCAGGTTAGTAAATGCTACTCCTGTTCATGCCAACCACTGTCTTACATATTTCCTATTGCCATCTTTGTCTTTTACTGTACTTCCCAAACATAAAAAACTGTCAACTTTGATTCTAAAGTTCCAATCCCTTCTCCACATCTTCGATGACGAGAAACCCCCTTTGAGACTAATAATGGCTGGAGACGGCTTGAATGGGG